TAATTTTTGTCAATTTTTTTTGTTTGATTTATCTATTGTTATTTTTTTAATTATATTATTAAATTAACCGAGTTTATTGAATTCAATCAAATTAATAACATAAATTTTAAATTTTTCTTATTTTTTTAAAACCACTATCATTATCTAAATATTTTCCTCTTAGAAATTCGTTAAATTAAGCCATCACAAATTTTTCATCTCTGAAATCATGTTCATTAATGTCTTGTAGCAAATAACTCAATGGATTTTTAGAACCTGAAATTCAAATAAATGATTGGTGGAGTGCAGATGATGATACACAGTTCCATCTTAAATACATTAAATGTTGCTATTTTACTGTCAAAATATAAGTAGACATTTTATTTGTGGATATCTAAGTTAGTTTATACATAACTCAATTAATTTTTTAAAATCTTAAAATTAATAATTTTATATAATTTTAAAATTTATAATACTTAACAAGTTCAAAATATTACATGTTTCGAGTTTTTTTTTCCTGGGAATAGGTTGACAATTAAGCTCAAACAATACAGCATATATCCAAGCATAAAAATGGATGACACTAAATTCCCGGTGCTGTAATATTTTCCTGTTGTAAATCTGGGTGCTGATTTTGATGCGGTTCTGGTTTAGATCAATCTCTTTCGATGGAGCTGTAACTTTGAATTCTGGTGATCAGCTGTGACCTGCCCGAGGGGGAAAGCAATGTAATGCCAAGATTTATTGAAAATAGATGGACAAAAACTAAAAGCAGGGAGGGACATGAATGTACTTTCATAATGATTTCTCAAATAATTCATAATGGCCCCTAATTGTTTTAGAAACTCAGATTTACTCCCCTCTTTCTAGACATTTGCCCCATATTATTGGAAGCTTGTCCATATATAATCCATGGCGTCCCATGCACTTTCATAATAAATAATAAACAAGAAATTAAAGGGTGCGGCTATTCACTGTATTCACTCTAACCTATTATTTATTCTTCATTAGAATAGTATTTTGCGGTTATTTTTTTATTTAGTTTTTTATTTTAATTTCACTCCCCTGCCACTAAATCTTGTTTTCTTTTTTTTTTAGTTTCTTTTTTCAATTTTATTTTTTGTTTTAAAAATTATACTTCATAAATTTTGTTATTCTGTGTGTTAGGTTATATATTGATTTTATGAATTTGATTTTTTTTTAATTTCGACTCTTAATATTAGAACTGTATGAAGTGAAGCTTCTTTTTAATTTTTTTTTTATGAATCTCATTATCAGCTCGGATTAACTTGGATTATTTTATAAATTCATTTTTTTTCTAATTATTTTTTTTAATTTTATCATTCAATCTAAATTAGTTGAAAATTAAATTTTATAATTTATTTCAATTGATTTTCTATAGAGTTATATCGATCTTATAATCTAGATCACAAGTTTAATGGGTTAACCTAGGTTGACTCGATTTATTTTTTTGTTTTTTTAATTGATTTTTTTTTCAATTTCACCCTTCAACAACTCAATCTTCTTCTTCTTCTTTTATATTTTTTTAATTTCATTCTTTAATATTAGTGTTTTTTTTAAATCATGCTCTATAGTTTTTTTTATTTTCTTTTTATTGGATTATATACTAATTTCATGGATTTAGTTTTTTTTCTTCAGAATTTTAACTTTCAATATTAAATATATTGAAAGTGAAGCTTCGTAATTTTTTTTATTTACTTTCTATGAGGTTATCTCAAATTCATAACTTTTTTTATTTACTTTCCATGAGATTATCTCGATCTCATAATATAGATCATTAGTTTGACAGGTTAATCCTAGTTGACTTGAGTTATTTTTTATTTCTTTTTAATTTTATTTTTTTTCAATTTTATCTTTTAGTAATGGATTAATTAAGAATTAACCTTCATAATTTATTTTATTTTACTTTCTATATGGTTATAACAGTCTCATAACTCTTTTTTAATCTTTTTCTATCTTTTTTCCTTGTTTTTCGCATCATTCTCCTTAAAATAGCAAAAAGCCTTACTATTTTATTTTTATATTAAATTTGAATTTCATTCTTTTCATTGTTACTTATTTGTTTTTGATACTTCTTTAATTGATTTTTTTTTTAACGGCATCCTTATCATTGGTTGATTAGGAATTTGAATTGATATTTTTTTCCAGTTTGTTATCTATGATTAATCCTAGTCTCATGATCCAAGTCATAAGTTTGGAATGCTAGCTCGATTTAATTTTGGGTTTTTTTAGCATTCTCTTAAAAAAAATTAATTTCATTCTTTAAAGTTTGGGGATTGGACTTCATCAATGTTGTTTGCTTACTTTTATACAGGTTATCTCGGTCTCATAATTTAGGTTGTAGGTTTGGAGCATTAGCCCAAGCTTTCTCTGAATCTTTTTTGTTATTTTTTTATAATTGGATTTTTTAGCCACGCCTTACAATAATAGGTTAATTTGGAAATTGAGTTTTGTAATTTTTTTGAATTTTTTTCTACTAGAATATTCTGGTCTCACAACTTGAGTAGCAAATCTAAATAATGTGCCCCCGTTGACTTGGGGCTTTTTTTGTCCTTTTCAATTCCTTTTCTTTTTAGTTTTGGCCTTCAACAATTAGTTGATTGAGAATAGGGTTTTTTTATTTATTTTTATTTTTTAAAAAAAATTAAGTTATTCTAATCTTATAACTTATTTTATATGTTTGTTGGCTTAACCTAGGTTGAATCTATTTTTTATGTTTTTTCAAAATTTCCTTTTTTATTCCAACCTTCAACAAGAGGTTGGTGTTGAGCTAGACTTTGTAGTTTTTTTCTATTTTCTTTTTATGTGATAATCTTATTCTCATAAATCAAGTCATGATTTAGTTGATTTAGAATTTGGCTTCATGGGTTTTTTTTTTAATTTTATCTCTATTAAATTATCTCAGTCTCATGACTAGGTTTATTTGGTTAACTTGGGATGACTTAAATAATTTTTGCTTTTTAAAAAAATATATGTTTAACTGATTTTATCTTTCAACAATGGATTAGTTTAGAGTTATGCTTTATAATTTTTTTATTTACTTTATATAAGGTAATCTCATTCTCATGATTCGTTTCATGAGTTAATGATTTTATCCAAGTTAACTCAAACTGTTTTTTTTTTTTAATTTTCATCTTTCAAACTTTTTGCTTATTAGAAATTGGGCTTCCTGACTTATTTATTTTTATTTTTTATAGAATTATTAAGCTCTTATGACTTAACTCACAGGTTTTATAGTTTAGCCAAGATTACTTTAGTTCGATCTAATATATTGTAATTTTAATATTTTAAAAAAATACTGTTATTTGATGCATCACCATATCAATATTTAAAAAGATATATTGTTCAATATGTATCAGATTTTTAATTCATTATTGATTTTTATATTAAAAACATGTTAGTAACGCCTTTATATTTTTTAAAGTAATATATAACCCGCAATATAATGATCTAGTCTATATTAAAAATAAAATGTAAAGACCAACATATTTTTATAAGGACTCGATATGGTTATTAGTTTTTTACTATGGTCTGACCCAATAGATCAACTTAGTGACCATTGACCTAGTCCTGGAGCTATGATTTAAATTAATTAGATAAGAGGAGACCATGTCAACCTATAACATAGTCAAAACCTATTTTAACTTTAATTTAAAAAATATTATTTTAGATTGATCAAGATCAATAAATTTCACTTGCTTAGTCCATGTCCCAAATCTTGGATGAATAAGCTAAATTGGATTTGATGACTTTTTTTTTTATCCCTTTGAGGCCATTATTATATATATATATAAACAATTTTTTAGTGAAGAATAATTTGGTGAAGAGCATTTTGAAATCACTTCAATCATTTTATGAGCTTACCTTCAGCTAGGAGACTTGTAACTTGAATGGGATTTCACAAATAATGGTTGTTGTAGATAAACCTCGAGAACAACGTATCATAGCAGAAAGTCTTGAAAGCAACATATGTTACACAAATTCGATTCAGATTTTTTAGCAAAATATTTTATTCATAGACTATTCCCATATATCTATCAACTCCTAACAATCATTAGCTCTTTAAAGCAACAGAGCTCCATGGAAGCAAGTGCACAAGATTAGCTCTCCATGAGAGATGGGTGCGTTACAACATGTTAGGGTTTGATATATAACTAGATAACACTGCAGTGTCCCTGTCAATATTGGGTTGCTGGAGGGCAAAAAAGAGGGGGAGGTGGATAGAAAAGAATGAGAGGGTGTCCATGAGAGTGTCTCTGTGGTTGTCCTGAGCATGTCCATGTGCATGTGAAGCTGCATGCCATGTGGTTGTCATCATCTCCTTGAAAGTGAGTGAAAGGTAAGATGTCCACCGATCGCAGGAGCAGGAGCGGTCCCCTGCTGGGACTCATCATGGCCATTAGTTTTGTCTGATGTGTATGCAAAGTAGGTTTCATGGACAGGGATGGATTGTTGTTTTTGCCAGTAGATTTTGGTCCTCCTCCTGCTTCATTTAATTGCTAAAGAGACAAGTATCTTTTATCTCAAATCTTGTATACGATTTCTGAATTCTGACACCCCTTGCTTCTTATCTCAAAATATTTCTTCTGAGATAATTTATTTTGCCTCGGGTTAGAGGCCCAGAACATGAACAGATTCCGAATCTTGAAATGCAAACATTTCATATCATAGAAGAAAATGCTCTTTCAACACCTGATAAACCAAGAGGAAAAGGAAAATTAGACACGTCTCATGGCATAGGACCCTTGTGTTAAGCCTGCACTCATTTTGATCCTTCAGTCTCAGTATCTTGCAGTTGCTACTGCTCCCCTCAGTATCCTCAAGTCTCCCTGCCATTTAGGCGTGTCTTTCAGGGCTTTTCACCAGTTTGACATTGAGCAAGCAAATACTTTCACTCTAGGGAAGCATACCACTTATGTTTTAATAAATTTCAGTTCTGCAATCAAATTCATCCTGTCACTTAATTTCAGAAAATGATGCCATTTTTTCTTGTGACAGGGTGGACAACGACTTTGAAACTACTGTCATATTTCTCTAGTAAGAAACTGTTCATCCAATGTAAGGTTCATCGGAAAACAACCACAGAATTGAATTCACACTTATAATCAGGGAAAAGGAAAAGCACAAACCGAGCCATATGCCTTTAAAGGCAACCCACCCCATATATATGTTGATACTAAAATTCATAAAAGTAGGTTTCATCATGCAACAGAACAAGAAGCGAAGCAAATCTTCATAACATTCGGTAAACTGTTCATTTGGTCTTCAGCTAACAGAGCAAGACATGAAGTAAACTCCACGGAGGGCAAAACAACTCATGGTAGCTGGCTGTGCAGCAGATGTGGCTTTCAGTTGTTGAATGAAGTCCATCTTCAAGATCCAGGACAAGTTGGTTCTGGTTTCACCATGAAATAAAGAATTCGATGAAATTCAATGAAATAAACCACGAGATGCAAACAAAACAGGAAGCAACACAATGACAAATCTAGCAATAGAGTTGAGAATGGGACAATCCCACTCTACCCTGTAGACCAGCTGAAACAAACTTTGATGAACTCAAAAAAGTGAAGCATTCCATACAATGTCATCCTATGATATACAGTTACCCTGTAGACCACAGCAAGATGCTGAAAAGCAAGCACCTTTGTCGCCTTGGAAAAGGAAAACCCCACAAATGTGTGAGGCTCTGTGATGCTGCCATCAACTCACTCGTCAACCAGGTGTTAAAGTAGGGGTTAACTAGAGGCTCCCTGCACCTTCATCCAGTGAGATTTTCTAATTGTTTCAACTTCAGTTACCTTGGTATGAAAAAGAATTCTCACCACCCAAAGCACTATCTTTTCTGCCACGGGCAAAACTTATGTCAATCAAGTTTAAACAACCCCAGCTATCATAACTGTTGATGTACCACAGCTCTATATGCCCTTCTCTAAGGATGAAGAATGGCACATCTTTGAAAACCCAATACATTCCTTAACAATGAACAGTAGAGAAATTTCAGCTTTTCTTTTCTTTTACTTTTTTTTTTTTTCGGTTGTCTACACATGGGAATTCTCCACCATATTATCCTAAAAAGTAATATGATTAGCTTCCTGATGATTTTTCCTATTCAGAAACCTAAAGCCCCTCATCTACATCATTAGTCTTCCTTAGGAAGACACAGGGAAGACTTCTTTCTGCGGTAATTGCCATATTAAGCATATCCTAGAGCCTGAACATAAAAGACAGACAGGTCCCTTTAATAAACAAAAAAAAACCCAGTGATACTCTCAAAATCTTATAGATTATCAACTTAGCTAGTGGGGAAAAAAGAACAGAAAGAAAGAAGAAAAGGAACCAATTTACAGTTACTATGAAGTACAATGATTAAGAATGTACTTGTCATGCATAACGAATCACTATTAGCCACCGGAATACCCTGTTAAGAAACTATGTGATAAACAGAAAGAAGATCGATACAATTCATTTGTTAGAAGGCATGCACAATCATGACACTCTAAGATACTTCAGAACCAAATGTACAAAAACAATACTATTTGTGATGGTTTCTCAACAAAATTTTGATGAAAGTTCCAGCCTGTGATATTGTGGGTGCTTTTCTTTGATTTTTTTTTTCATTTTTTTTTTTGTCCATAAACTTGGTGTAGATACAATATTGCATGAAAAACATTTGAAGTTACATACCTTCACGAGCTCAGTGTCTTTGAGTTCTTGTGCACCAATATACACATGAAACAACTACAGCTCATGACTACAGCAACACAAGGACAAGAAAAAGCCACGATAATCAGAGAGAACGCATGGCAGTTAACCGATACTCAGGAAATATGATCAATCAGATCTGTGGTAACATTGACTACATTATGAGTTAACTAGAGAACTACTTTCATAAAAATAATAGAAATACTTACTGTTTAATTACAATGATCCAGAAACCACTATAACTGTAACAAATATCTATTGTGATCTGGAGCATAGATTTCCTATAAAACATTCAAGTTAGATGGTTAGAGCAAGGCACAAAGAGAACAAGATTTATGATATAAGAAGAAACACTATCAGATATTCACCACCAAAAGATAGATAACTTCCAAGTGCCAAGCATCTTCAAGGGATTGCATATGAATATATATTTCCTGCTCAAGAAAAAGAAAAACATAAAATTCCATTCCATTATTTGAATTTGAAAAGACAGTGGAACAAAAGTTTAGTTACTTTCCAAAAAACAATTTTTTTCTTGATTGCATTCACTAATGTGGAATTTAAACTTTGGATAAACAGTGTAATGGAAAATAACAATTATACAGAAATCATAAAATCTTGATTAGTGATTCTTTACATTTAAAAAAACTCCCGCCTACCATCAAAGAGAAGATTATACATACTAGACTTTGTTTAAGGCCACCAATTGCATGCCAACAAACGAAATAAACAATAATGATATAAAGTCATTTCTCAAATCTTCCCATTTTTTTAGGGGAGCAAAATATATAACTTAAAAGTGCAAGTTCATAGTATCTTCTTTTTCATTTTATGTTCCACTAGTGTGTTACTTAGGCAAAACAACTTAGACTGAAGAAAGGAAAAGGTTACCTTGTCCAAGAATCAAAATACCATTTGCACCCAAAGGTATAAGATCTTGTATCTTTTCAGCAGAAAAAATTGCTTGAATAACTAGCAGATAAATAATACAAAAATAGTTTAGATAACTTCAGCATCAACATTTGAGAACAGCTGCCAGAGCTTTCATTAACCCAAGGTGAGTTTAATAAAAAGACAAGGCATATAAAGTAATAACTTGAAAAACCACGCCAATATAAAGGGGATTAAAGAAACCTGTGATCTGAATTAACTTTTCCTGGGTCTCATCTTCATTGTTTGAATCGACAGCAGCACCCATGTCAGATAGAGTAATCGTGTGCACAGAATGAAGCCCATCTGATACCCAAAATGTTTGCATTTCTGCAAAGCAATGGCAAGTTCACTCAGTTGAAGAATCTATATATATTAACCAATACCAAGAGATCATTTCCCTTTTTTTTTCTTTTTTTTTTCATGAAACAGATTCCAAAGGGCATTATATTACCAAAATAAATAGGCAAAATCAAATTTTATTTTCCTCCTCGAAATGCCATCTGTTTACCACACGCATTATGATGTTTCGTTTCCATTTTATTTTACGAAGTATGACACCTAACCACCGAGACACAAGTTAGATCCCTTATCACACATGAATTTCCAGTCCCGATAATTATCGGTTCAACGTGTAATAAATCATCCTTGGATCAAGTTTTTGTAAGAACCCACAAACACTTTGATCACAGAACCATTATCACAGAATCATTGCTGGACATGCAAGAAACATCAAAATTTAGAAGAGAGGGAGGGAGCGTATTTAGAATAGTATACTCAAGGAAATGTCTGGAAGAACAGCCAGCTTCTGCACTTTCATACTATGAGGCAACCGCCTGATGTGAGCCACGAAATTTGATCCAATAACAGGTGCAGACAGGCACAAGATATGTAAATCTCCCATAGAGTCCAAAATCACAAATTTTTTGTGAGACAATGCCTGAATGGAAACAGCCTTTGATGTTGTAGGTTTCAAGACCTCAACCTCCTCCCTCTTAAATGCCACAAAACATGCAACCCCTTCACCAGAGTCTTGTCTGCACCTTACAGATCTCAGCTTAACTGTGAGTTAAAATGCAAATTAATGTCATGAGCCAACAACACAAACATTTTTAGAAACCAAATATATATATATTTCTAAACAACTTCCAGTTCTATGTATAAATAGCTAACTTAGATTCTGCAAGCATCACAATTACTCTTCTAAAAGCTATCAAACACTGGAGAAAAGGTTCAGCAACCATTACTTGCCAAGGACAAAAACAGGAGAGAACCCCTAATCAAATATGTCTTTCTAATAACAGTGATTTACCATTTAGAGGCATCCTTATGAATCTAACCACAGGACAGCACCTCACTTAATATGAGTTCATCCATTTCATGGTCTACAGAAATTCCTAAAAACAATCTGTCAGAGCAAATTGCAAATGTATAGATAAAGAATACCATAATGATAGGATAAATATGTTACAAGGTAAGAAGACACCAACCCCCAAAGAGAACTCATTCACCAAGGTGATTCAATAAAGCCATGAATACAATTGAATGTTAAAGTTCAACCAAAACAAAAAATGGAGCGTGGCTGCTGTTTACGTTAACAAGATTTTTAGTATTACTTAGGTGTTCTGTTATAAATTTTTAGCATTTATAAGGAACTTTATTGTCTAGGCCATTCTTACCACCTATCCAACACAAACAAAAAACAGCTCGTGGATAATGAGCTTTTACTATTAATTAAGAATTCTGTTATGAATTTTTGCATTAATTAGGTTTTTTTTTTTTGTCTAGGATGTTCTTATTCCTATTTTGTTTTAGAACTATTAGATATTTTGTTCATGCTTATAAGAGCACGCATAGTATGTTTTCGAAAGGCTTTTGACAATCGACATTTAAAATCTGAATATCAACTCCCACTGCTCTCCCCCAACATTATCCTATATTTGTCTCCTTTCTATTCTTCAACACCTCTTTGTCTATTCTCTCCCTCATCTCCTTCTCCATTCTACATCAACAGAAAAACTGACAAGTTCAAACAAAAATATTAAAAATAGCAGCCTAAGCAGAGAATTGAATCATTCACCCATCTATTATTGATTTGCTTTCTCCTCTAAATAATTTTACTCCTACAAAATCCTAGCACTGACATATGCCTTGCAATTTTCTTTTTCTTTTCAGCAACGTATTAGAAGTGAAGCAACATCAAGAAGCGGGTGACATTCTAAAGAGAGAAAATCCTTGTTCTCTCAAGAAAGCCAATCTAAGGGTGCCATTGACTATCTCATGTTGCTTCTGAAATCCACAATGTGTCCGGCTTATACAAGCTAAATTTGCTGATTTCCTTTCCAATTAACTAAGATCAACATGCTGACTGCCCTCCAATTAGAATACCCAGGCTAAAATGAAATTAAAAGCAATCATGACTTCATGAAAAAAAAAAAAAAAACTTATTTGTTTGAATAAGTGATCCTGAAGAGAGGCTCTTCTTGGTGACCTAAACATAGCAAAAGGTATGTGATTTTCAATGCTGATGAAATCTACAAAAGACAAGGTTAATAAACATGATGGGAAAACATAAAAGAAGACAGGAATTTTAATCCATAGCTTATTGAGACAACTGATTCATCAAGCATTCAAATTAGCTGCACGGGTGCAATCTTAATTCTGTCAAACCAAGAAATCTCACGTTCAAGATACTCAAGCCTCAATTCCTTTTATTCTCTGGAACTACAAATTTCATTCCTATTCAGCTAGAGCCTCTTCCCCAGAAAATTTCATTTCTCATTAAAAATAGAAGAAAGGCCATTAATAAACAGTCAAATGGCGCTTTGCCTTGGAAATTATGTTTGGATTTGAAATTGTACATCCTTTAAACCTACAACACAATATGATCGATTCTGTTGGAAATTTTGCACCCATATCGAAACAACAGTCGATGAATCCATTATCACATCATACATGTCATATTCACGAAGCATTGAATCCTAAATTAATAGAACATTCCCAATTGAGAAGAAAGAAAATCCTTGCAGGTCAATAGACCACCTTCATGAACACATATACGGTCCAAGTTAAACAGAATTAACTTTTCTCCAACTTCAATGGAGATCTTCTAAAGTAAAAGGGACAGCACCGCATAATTTGAATTGCAGAACTCTCAACTACTAATTTCTCTATGTCACAAAGCTGAATAGTCACATTTATTTACCCTAACTCAATGCTAACTAGCAAAAACAATAACTTTTTCAATACAAAATGAACAATAAGAAGAGCTCAATAGTAACACACTGCACTTGCACACTTACCAGAAACATATTGCTTATCAATATTCATATCCAGTACACCATTGCAACCATTCCCAGAGCTTGAACCGTGAAAATAGTCATCCCCAACAACCCCATTTGGCAATTTCAACCCTTTACCATCCGACTTTCCATTTGAACTAATATCCTTGACATTCTTAACCTTCCCTTTCACCAAGTGCCTCAAATTAAAAACCCTGACCCCATTATCCTCCCCTAAAATCAAGACTCCAGAAGAAACGCTAATTGACCAAACAGGCACGCTACACTCAATAAGAACACATCTCATTAATTTCACCATCTCACCATCACCATCATCAATAAGTTTCACTGCAAAGACCCAGACTTTCTTGTTTGAAACTGAATGCAACACAAAAAAATTAACAGAACCAACAATCTTTATAGAAACCCCATGATTTATATCTAATAAAACACCAAGTTTCGAATCAAAAGCAATACCCTTTTGGTTGCAAACAACTTGGGGCTTACAGAAGATGTTGTCTTTTTGTAAGAGATAGAACCTTAAGAGAATCTGGGACCCACCCTTATATGGGCTAGCAACAAGAAAAAGGACTTTAGGGATAGGGTCTCGGTGGATGAGAAGGAAAGAAGAGGAAGAGGAAGGAGAGGGAACTAGAGTTTGGGGTTTTGGTGGGAGAGGAGGGGAAGGAAAAGAGAGACAAGGAAAGAGGGAAACAGAGGAATCAGTGTGCATTAAGGCTAAAGAAAGAGAGTTTGGTTCAAAGAGAATGGATTTTGTTGGCGGAAGAGAAGGAGGGAGAGACAGTTTTGAGGATTGTACAAGTACCATGAGGAGAAAAAACCTTTGAACTTCTTGTTAGGACATTTGGAGAAATTGTTTTGGCTTTCTGGGATACCTATGTTTTTGGTTTTGTAAATGGGGTAATTACTGAGTATGTTGATGGGAGATCCAAAGATTAATTAATTGAATATTTAATTGATAATGTAGACTGTAGAGGAAAAGGACAAGAAGGATTGCAAAGCTATCTATAATTTTATTTAGTTAAGACCATAATATGAAATTTGTGATTAAGTAATCGATTAACAATTATATAACAATATTTTTCTCTGGTTGTCGGATCCAAAAAAATCAAGGTTCATGATAGCCTTTTCTAGAGATGTTTATGACTCCAAATAAATAAGATTATGTGGTTTTTATAAAATATTTTACTGAAAGATTGTCCAAATAAAATACATTATAATTAATATTTAATTTTAATTTATTTATTAAATAATATATGTAGCTTATGAAGTTTTATAAAATACTTTATAAATCCATTTATAATAATATTATTACTTCTCGTATAAAATATTTCTATAAAAATTTTACATTTATAAAATATTTACACATCTAAATTGAAAAGGAATAACTAAATATATAATAATTTAGATAATTGATTAATGATTTTAATTTGGATATATTGATTTTCATATTTAGTCTCTTAAATTAGTCAAATAAGGAAACTACTAGATATATAATAATCCACCCAACATTTCTTATTTTATCTCATTCATACCAAATAAAAAAATAACTAAATATATAATAATTTAATTAATTTTATAATTTATAAAATTAATATATACAAGTTATTCGAATCATATATATATATATATAATTTATCTATCATTTATAATCTTATTTAATTCATGCCTATATATATAATTTATCTATCATTTATAATTTTATTTAATTCTAAATAAGGGGATAAATGGATATATAATAATTTATACATCAACTTATCTAATAGATATATAATAATTTATCCACATCACCTTATCTAGCAGATATATAATAATTTATCCATCATTTCTCGTCTTATCTAACTTATCCCTTTCTTATCCACCATCCATCTAGACAAACATATTATATAAAACTTATAATTTGTGAAAGTAATTAAAAATAATTATATGGCAAAGACATGTTACATCTCTCCAGACCCTTTTCTAGTTTTCTTTCATGTGTTAATTAATTATTTAAACGCACATCTCAGCTAGTCAAATATTTTTTTTCAATGAAAAAATAAATAAATAGGTAAAATTTTCAAATATGTTTTTTACAAAAATATAAAAAAATCTTAAATATAAATTAAAAATTCTATTCATGCATTTAATTAATAAAATTGATAAATATATATATGCCAATAAATCTATAAAAAAAAATATTAGCGTGTTTATTCAGCTCATTTTATTAGAGGTCAAATAAAAAAAATTAATACAAAAAAATTAATATGTAGATGTTATTAACATGTTTTTTGATATTAAATAAAAATTATAATTGTGAATAAAAATTAAATATCTATATATAATAAAATACAATGAAAATTATATATATTAATAAAAACATGTAAGGTATCAAACTAGTTTTTTAACATAGCAAAACATAGAACAATATTGCAGTTGCTATAATAAAACATTATTTTTTTAGTTTTTATATAATATTATTTTCAAAAAAAATTACAAAGAAAAATACAAAACAAATTATAAAATAAAAATTATAATAGGTTAAATATAGAGTGATAAATATTCTAAATGTAAAGAAAAAATAATATTTTTTTAAAAAAATATACATAAAAAAATGAAAAACTAAAAAGCAATTACAAAAAATAAAGACAAAAGAAAAAATAGTAATAAATAGAATAAGTATAAAATGATTATAATTATATTATTTTTACAATAATCTTTTTTAATATATATATATACTACTCGTTACAGTTAAAAAAAAACAAGAAAAAATTATGATTGTATTATTTCTACAGTAAAATACCATGGTACATATGTATATAATGTCAGTAGGAGTGTCAAAACAAAATATTCCTATCGGCCTCTTAATTCTCATTTTCACTGCCACATTTATGCTCCACCATCAACAAAAATATCACCTTCAACCAACCATCATCATATTAACATTATTATTATCAATACACTAAAATATGCAGATAAATTACAATAAATAGTAATTTTTTATATATATTTTAATGTGACATCTATGAAAAGAAATCTTTTTGTATTTTTTTCATCTTAGATTGTTTTTTAATTTAAATTTTTAAAATTAAGTTTAATTTTTATTTGATTATCTTATTTTTATAACATAAATTGCAGATTTGATAAATTAACCTACATGACTTTGTTTTTTTTCTTATTTAACTTTTTTCCCTATTCTATTATTTAATATTAGGTAAATATAGAATTAGATTTCATAATTTATTTTATTTATTTTTATTAAATTACTCTAGTCTCATAATTTTTCATAATTTATTTTATTTATTTTTATTAGATTATTCTAGTCTCATAATTAAAAAAAAAAAATAGTGCTTAATGCATTACCTTGGTTGACTTGAATTTGTTTTAATGTTTTTTAATTGAAAATTTTTTAATTTTAATAGTAAATACTAGATTGGTTGGAATTAAACTTCATAATATGTTTTGATTTTTTTCATAAAAATATCTTGATCATGTGATCCAGATCGCGAGTTTTAGTATTTTAACCTCGGATAAATCAAGTATTTTGAATATTTTTTTATTTTTTCTCTAAGAGATTATCTTAGTCTTATATCCTTTAACATTAAATTTCTTTTTACAGGGTTGCCTTTATCTCAGGCTCTAAGTTATAGATTTGATGTGTTAATATAATTGATTCAGTTTTTTTTTAATTGATTTTTTTAATATCATCATTTAATATTTTATTTAATTGAGAATTAGTCTTTATGCTTTATTTTAATTGATTTTTATGGTGTTATCTTAGTCTCATAAATCGAAAATAGTGCTCAACAAGTTAACTCATATCTTCTTGGCTTATTTTTTGTGTCTTTTTAATTAATTTTTTTACAAATTTCATTGTTTAATATTGGATTTGACATAACTGATTGAGAATTGAGTTTTATAATTTATTTTGATTTATTTTTTATGAGGTTTTCCCATTACCACAACTAGAGTTATGAATGTGGTAAGTTAAATCAGGTTGTTTTTATTTTTATTTTCTTTTTATAAAATTATATCAGTCTCTTAACTCGAGTTATGAGTTTGACGTATTGTTTTAGATCATTTTTTTATGATTTTTCTTAAATTGATATCTTCTTTCAATCTAATCATTTAATATTGGACTAATCGAGAAATGAACATTGTAATTTATTTTAATTTTCTTTTCATAAGTTATCTCGGTTTTATGACTCAAGTTATGAATTTGACAGGTTAATTCAGATTATTTTTTTAATTGATTTTTTTTTCAGGTTCATCATTTAACAACGAGTTGATTAAAGATTAATTTATATAATTTATTTTAATTTATTTTTTACAGAATTATCACAATCTCATAATTTAAGTTAAGGATTTAATATGTTAACTTAGATTCACCTAAGTCAAGCCAATATATTGTTATTTTAATATTGAAAAAAAAATATCATCTTTAAAAAAAATATCAAACTATATTTTTATTAGACACTTGGTTTGCTTTTTGATCTATAAAATCAATCAAGTCATTTTAAGTCAACGCTCACATGATTTTAAAAAATTTCCACTAAAAAAAATTAGCAATATCTAAATATTTTTTTTGTGATAAAAAAAATTGAATTGACCTGTCGCATAGTAATTAAGTCTTTCAAATTGTTTTTTTTTCTTAATTATATTTTTTTATATTGAATTGATATAACTTGTTTTTTTTTATTATGTTGCCCAGGTATATAATTAAATCACTGATTTAACATGCTAATCTGGTTGGCTTGTGTATTCATCTTGCTTTTAATGGAGTTGTTCTAATATTGAGAATTTTTTTTTATTATATTTTTTTTGTTGAAGTACTTTTTTATTTTATGTTATCAAAATTATTCGATATCTAGTCATGTTAATAATCCAAATCTCAATTTTTTTTTAAGAACATTTATATTTTTTTAACATCTTTTTTTCAAATAAAAAAAAAACCTAAATCAGTTCTCATATCATGGAACACCTGCCATAGTTTAAACTATGCTATCTAACCCCAAACAAAAAATAAATTAAGATCAAAGCAACGAAAAGAAAATGACAAGAAAAAGAAATTAAGAAGCAACAAACACTGGTTAATATTTATTTATTACCCTACAAATATTCCATTGCGAAAACGATTAATGATTAAACGACTTTACACGCGTAATTAATCACTATAATTAGCAATGGTAGCATGTGGCTCAGCAGCCTTAGCCGCAGGGGTCGGCTCAACAGCAGGGGTCGGCTCAACAGGCTTCCCAACCAGCTCCTCAGGCAAATCGTTCTTAAGGCCCTTCAAATAAAATGTGTAAAACAGCTTGAAAGGGAACACAAGCTGCCGCAGCTTAACCTGACCATACGCCCCTTCAAAAATACCTGACCCACCGGTCACAGCGAGATAAGTGTCCTCGTAGGTCAAATAAGCTCCCTGCACCGAAAGGTGACCGTAGTCACCAAAGTAGAAGCTGTAGACTGCCTCATACCGGTCACCTTGCTTTTCCGTTTTGTGTTGGATCAGAATGCATAATCCTGCTGTTATTCCTATGCGTTTCTGTAGGTCTCCGGTGTAAAGCTGTAATAACGTGAAACATCAAATCATCACCGTCAACAATGCTACTGCAACCACCTTATGGCTTTTGTTTTCCATCAAAAACCATTATTATAAAAATTGGTTTTGCCCGTGCAGGTTGCTCCAAGACTTGCTCAACCCGATTTCTCAGCTAACTGGACTGACGGACATGCTTTCATTATTGTGAAAATAAAATAATTGAATCAAGAAAGGTGCAGCAAAAGTTGACAGATTTTCCAGGAAAGTGTAGCAATTTACAGGAATAATTTCTTTGGGATATAAAACAGTAGCAAAAGTTGACAAAGATTTTCCAGGAAAGTGTAGCAATTTACAGGAATAATTTCTTTGGGATATAAAACAGTGAGAACGTATCAAATAATGTTAGATTTTCGTGGAGAAAAAACAAAAACAAAACTGAGGTCATGGCGAGGACTCACTTTGTTGCTAAAAGGCACAAGATCACCAAGAGTATTGACAGGCCTGTAGCTCAAACGAAGATAAGCAGGGCTTCCACGGTCTCTCTCATTGATCTCGTAAACGTTCAGTTCTTGAACTTTGGCTGTAACAAGAGCACGAAATCCCATAAAGGTGTCACTAAATAATCATTTTTATGTATAAAAACAAACAGAGAAATATGAAAGATCACTTACTGGCCGGTCTTGAATCCTCAGTTGAGGCAGTTTGGCTTTTGCAAGAGAAAGATCTCTTAATCCCTGAGAAGTTGCCAAAGCTTGAAGATTTTGCGAGGAGTATTGGGTTTTGAGTCAGCTTGAAAGGAAACAGTGATGGTATGGCAGGCACAACACCATTAATGTTTGATCTCGGTGCGGCTGCTTTCACGGAAGTAGCAGAAGAGAAGGTTCTCAAAGCAGAGATTGAGTAAGCCATTGATCTCGATTCTTGGTTATTGTGAGGTTAAGGGTTATCTTTCTTGGTGTTTGTTTGGAGGCAGAGAAAGTGAGGGAATTTGAGTGAGAAAAGCGGGGAGGGGTTAGTTTATATAGGAGAGCAAGTGAACGCATGCATATGAGCATGTGGGCAATTTGAGTCGTCAACTTCTATGCAGAAACAAGAGATCTTCATATTGAAAACGTGATTTGGTGTTGGTGGGAGAAGTTCTGAACTGGAAATATCCAACAGATTTGAGAAACTTACAAATCTTTCTGGTAGGAATTAATTTTCCCTCCTGCATCTGCTTCCCATAAGTGTCAGCCATTCATGAATTGAACAGCACAGCATTTCAATTTTAATCTTTGATACATTTAATTACGTTGTACAAAATCAGTTTTCGTAAATTTTTATACGTAAAACTAAATAAATATATATTTATAAATTTTCTTTTTTCTTTTTAAGAAACTCTCCTCCTTCCCATAAGTGTCAGCCATTCATAAACAGCATAATGATTTAAACCTTTTGTGCAATCTTCTCCACACACATTTACTTATATGGTGTTCCAAAACATATCATTTTTATCGTACCGATTCTTTTCTTTATAAAGATGAGAAGATTACACATGTTTTTCAAATGTGAGGATTTCGGCTTTATAGTTGGGCTTGAGTGCTCGTAACTGCTTCAAGACTTAACAATCCTTTGTTTTTAGATAACGAGAGCGTATGTACAAGTTTAGATAAAAATCTTAGCATGTAAATACCATATATGCATTTATCATTAAAAAAAAACATCAAGTAGTTTATCTTATATAAGATATTTTATAATGATTTTAATTTTTTATTTAGCATAATTAGCTTTTTACTTATAATCTCTATTTTATGAAATAACTCAATAAAAAAAAAGAGAATTACAACATTTTTTTAAAAAAATTATATTAATTTTTCAAACTCGTGATTTAGATCATTAAACCTGAAGCAACTAACTTGAATAAACCATGAAGTTAAATTATCAATCAATTAAATATTGAAAGATAAAATTGAAAAAAATAATTATACAAAAGAATTTAAAAAATAACAATTAAAAGAATAATGATCAAAATCAAAATCCAAAATAAGTATGATAATTGATTTAAGGGTGAAATCAAAAAGAAAAATTGATTTAGTAAAAAGATAAAAAAAAATTCAAACAAATAAGGGTTAAAATTAATATAAAAAAATAAAAGATAATGTTTTGATTGAATGATGCAATTAAAAAGAATAATAACTTTTACATAAAAGCCAATAAAAAAATTAAAAATCAAAATAATAAGAACTAGATTGAAAAATCATAATACTATCAATTTGAATTAAATGATAAAATTAAAAACAAATAAAACCTTTACAAAAGACCAAGGAAAAAAATTAAAAACTTGAAAAATAAGGACCAAATTGGAGAATATAATATTTAGTAAATTTGAATTGAATGATAAAATTAAAAACAAATAAAATTGCTATATAAAAATCAAGAAAAAAATTAGCAATTAAAAGAACATGAATTGAAGTTGAAAAATTAACAACCATGAGGATTAAACTGTAATTTTTCAGGAAAGAAAGAGAAAAAAAGAAAAAAAAGCCAATTGGTGACAAATCATACCATTATTGAGGATTTATGTTGTATTAATAGAAAAAACACAACGATACTTTTAACGACATGGTGGAATAATATTTTTAGATGTTGGAAAGTGCTGCATGTGCACACCCTTTTTTGTTTTCTTTTTTTATATAGTCAAATATCAAAGTGTCCAACTTTAAATTTATAAAAAAAATCATTGTGAAAAAAAAAGAAGCCTTTTGACTTTAGGTTTACATTTTTTGCAAAAAAATATGATGAGGGATTGTCTTTATTTACCTTGATGCATTTAAATTTTTTTCTTGATTAGTATTTTAGAATTGTAATACTAGACATATTATATATTAGTTAGGTAAGTTTTAATTAGGAATCATTTTTTTATAACAATTCTAGGTTTAAAACTAGAGTTAGGTAAGTTTTAATTAAGAATCATTTTTTTATAAGAATTCTAGGTTTAAAACTAATATAAATAGAAATGTCTCATTTGTTTTTAAGAAAACATTAAAACTATTCAGGCTTTTAATAAAATATTAAAGGTTTTATCTATTTATCTTAGGATTGTAACCTTAAAGATTGAAAACCATAACTTTTTTTCCACGTATAAGTTGCTTCAATAATCGTCTAGTGCATACTAATTAACTAGGAAAGAACGAGAAAAACACATGATTAAAGATGTGACAATCAAGATTATACCTAGCTAAATGTTCATCATTGATTCTTAATTGATTACTCTGAGGACGAGACTCCATTATAATTATAAAATATACTAAAATATTTAGGTAAAACACTGTTGTAATTTATAATAACTTTTTTTTTCATTTTTTCTTTAAATGTTTTTTCCAACTATTGACTTCTATGCCCAAATTAATGATCAATTTCTTAAATTATTTTATGAAAATTAAAAATTTAATAAAAAAAAATCAAAGTATAAAACAAAAAGAAATACTATAGCCGGTCTTAATTTTATTAAAAAAAGTTATGTTCAGTCTGTTTGCTTTTAATTTTCTTACTCTTTAATCTCTTTTTATTTTTATTTTTACAATTTTAATTTTGATTTAAAATTTTATTTTCTTAACATTTCATTTCTTAAGTTTAAGAAATGAAAGAGAAATTCAGTAAATGACCACTTTTTAATAATAAGACCAGTTATTTGGGTGCCAATGAGTTTCATTTAATGGGGATTCTATTGAAGTATTTTTTAAACTTTTATCTTGTCTGAAAAAATAAATTAGGGTCGAGATATTATTTTTTTTCCAATTTGATTTTGTGTTTCTAGACTATTTTAAGGTTTTTTTTTCCCAAATTAATGAATTGTTTTTTTAGGTTAGGTGGGTTGCTAGGTGTTTTAGATGAAAATAGATTGAAAAATAAATTTTAAAAAATACTATAATAATTTTTCAGCTATCACCATGGTGAGAGGATTTTTGGTAGGTTGAGGACACATTGTATATTGTAATTATTTTTTTTAAAAAAAACCAATGATTGGTAAGGTGTGGGCTAATGAGTAGTTGCTTTGGAAGGAACTAATGAAAAAAGAAAGTGGGCTATTGAGATGAGATCAATTAAAGAATCGATTGAAACTGAAATTTTGATTCAAAATCAAAGGCAAAAACGAAAAAGAAAAGGCAAAGGTAAGAGAAATGGGTGCATGGAGAGGAGAAAGTGACAATAAGGAAAATCAAGCAAGATAAAAGGCAAGAACTTAAACTAGGTATTGTTTTCTTTTTGTTAGTGAACTAGGAACTCAAATAATTTTCAAGTTTCTCGTATAAATCAAAAGTACAAAAATTTAAAAAATAAAAGGGGCGAGAAAAGGATGTTAAGTCCTAAGATTTTTAAAGTCAAACCAACAATATTTTTTACAAGTAATTTAAATTATTTTTAAACTTATTAAGTTGACTGTGTGATAACAAAACAATAATAATTTTTATACGGTTTAATTTAAAACACATGCTAGATAATGAAGATTTCATTCGGTGAAGGTTTAATGACAATGCCAAGGAGTAATCCATGTTCTTGTCCTAAACATTTTTTTATATTTAATTTTCTTATTTGACCCGTTATATAGCACACATATTACCCAATACATGCCAAAAGATTTCATTAACTTTTTCAATACTTGTCATAAAAAAAGGAGGAGGAGGAGAAAGCATTCAACATTCATCATTAATAATTAAAATTAATTTTTTCAATAGCTAACTGAGAAAATAATAAGCAAATTAACTTCGCAGAGCCATGAGTTGAGATTAATTTGTAGGAGTTAAAGCTCCCTTCCTTCAGAATTGTTTTCCCCTGTTTACTTTTAAGAGGTAAACGATGTATTCATGGCTGTCATAAATAAGCTAACAGATTCAGAAAGCCCACCATTCTCGAGGCTCCATATCATACATTTTTTTTTTAATTATGTATCCAAATTAATTTCCATATATTTCAATTAATTTTCTGAAACTCTAAAATTATCAGTCAAATAAATCTTTAATAACCCTAAATTTTACAATATTTAAATTAATAATTTTTTAAAAATAAATTTAAAACCTAGTTTCTCCTATCCCAAATCATACATTCTTGGTGCACATGCACGAGCATGACCACTCTCCACATTTTGTAGCTAGCTACCCCTCGCTTCCCTCACCCGCAATAAACCATCCTCGCCTGTTTTAGCATCTTTCTCATCAGCCCCACACGACCACAGGCCTCTTTCTCAATGTCTGGTCTTGTCTCACTCTGACTCACGCTTGCCCCACAGCCGGCCGGAGTGGCCCCGCCTCCCTGCATGCCACCCCACTAATATTGCTCCCTCCCATCAAGCGAAATATCCCTTCCGTAGCTAGTCTAATTCAAAGCAGCAGCGAGGAGGTCTTTGGCAGTCTAACTGTAATTTTGAAGATTTTTGATTTTTTTATATATTAATATCAAAAATATTATTTTAATATACGTGAAACAATACATTTCAGAACTGACACTGAATTAATAGTTGCCACATGCTGCTGCTCATCAGTCATGGCACCCAACACAGCGAGAGTGGTTGTCAAGCTCTCCATAACGCGTTAGAGCACATATGTCCTATCACCTAAATATCACCTAATGTATTATCCCATCATCAATCCTTTCTTTTGGCTCCTTCATGCCTGCCCTCCTTCCCTCTCCTGTAACCTTACTCCGTGGTTTGTATTCTATTCTACTCTTGCAAGCGCCACGGCCCACTTTGCCATAAAAACTGAACGAAAAAAAACAAAACCGAGTTGCTAGCTTGCTGCGACCATAAAAAAAAAGACAAGGCACACTAGACAGGGAGCAACACTAGCCCAGATGGCATTAAAGGATCTTTAAATGATCCCAACTTCATATAACCAACAGGAATGATGAGATGAAGGAGAGACAACGTTGGCAACCAGAAGAAGATGCTATCCTAAGAGCCTATGTTAAGCAATATGGTCCGAAAGAATGGAATCTCATCTCTCCACGTTTGGAAGCTAGTGGCAAAGCCCTTAACAGAGACCCAAAATCCTGCCTTGAACGCTGGAAAAACTACCTCAAACCAGGCATCAAGAAGGGATGTCTGACCCCAGAAGAGCAAGCCCTTGTCATTTCTCTCCAGGCGAAGTACGGTAACAAGTGGAAAAAGATTGCTAGTGAAGTCCCTGGCCGTACAGCAAAGAGGCTTAGCAAGTGGTGGGAGGTTCTTAAAGAGAAGCAGTCAAAGTCCAAGTCTTTATTGCAGCATCACCATAATACACAATACTCCA